AGGCAGCATTCAAGCTAGCAGACGGGAGTTGTGAGGAAGCTCTTAAAGGCAGAAGGGACAAGGAACAAGGAAGCTATAAAAGGTGGCAAAAGCTGGCTGCTAATCTCAAGGCCACGCTCGCTGTTAGGGCAAGGGAGCGTCTCTCAGGTAGATGTGGCATGAGCGCTGATCAAGCAACTCCTGACGGATTAATGGAAGAGTCAGCACTAAATCTTGGTGATGTGGGAGTCCGTGGGAGGGCCTCCGTTTGGAGTCTGTTGTCTAGTTTTTAACAATCAGCAATCAAATCGGTCAATGGTGGGCAAATCAAAATAAACAATGATATAAAAACTGGTAACATTTCATTTGGTGACACACAGCAGCTGACTGACTAGGGACAATTAGATTAGAGCATTAGATCTGGGAGGGGAAGTGTAGAGAGGTTACCTCCACTCAGATTTTTTTTTTTAAGATTTATTTATTTATGCATACAGAACTGGGAGACAGGCCAGAGGGACAGGGGGAGAGGATTCACCAGAGACAGAGTGGGGAGCACAACAGGCAGATCAATGAAGTACTGCTGAGGGGAGCAGGGGGTGAGACAGGAGAGGTCTGCCACGCTGTGTGTGTCACTCACTCCCTGGCTGGGAACTGAATTTGTGCTGAAGTGGCTTAATCTTCGTAGTGCTGTGCTTTAACCCGCTGTGCAACCAGGGAAGCCCCCCCCCCTTCAGATATTTTCATGTTAAATATCCAAAGTGAAATTTCAAGGATAATCATAAAAGACACCCCTGAAACTTTTATAGTAATTTACTTCACCAAGAACAAAACTTTTTAAAGAAACAGAATGTATAACTTTCAAGACATTATGGGAGAAAAAAAATGGAATAAGGGAAAAAATGATCACATCTTATCAATGTGATCATCGACTTCCTGTCTGGTCAGAAATTTGATACTGGACCAAATTTTTACAAAGTGCCCATGAAATATTTACATCCCATATAACTGTTAGGGATTGATTTCAAAGGTCTACAAATAGCTCAAATGATTCAACAAAAACAAAGAAAATAATCCAATAAAAAAATGGGCAGAAGAGCAAGAAAGATACTTTTCCAAAGAGGAAATGCAAGTGACTAACAGATATATGAAAAAATGCCCAACATCACTTATAATCAGGGAACTGCAAGTCAAAGCCACATTTCACACCAGTGAGAAGGATCCATATTAAACAAATTGGCACCAAGTGCTGGTGAGGATGTCAAGGAAAAGGAACCCTCTTACACAGCTGGTGGGAGTGCAAACTGGCCACCCACCATGAAAAGCTGTCTGGAGGACCCTCAGGCTACTAAAAGTGGAGTTACCATTTCTTAGGAATTTACCCAAAGGACATAAAAACATTAATTCACCTGCACCCCATTGCAGCACAATTTACAATAGGTAAGCAACCACATGTCCAAAACAGATGAAGGACGAAGAAGAGGTGGTCTCTATACACAATGGAATACTACTTAGCAGTGAAAAATAATAAATCGTGTCATTTGCAGCAGCATGGATAGAGCTGGAAGGGATGACGCTTAGTGAAATCAGTCAGAAGGAAAAAGAAAAATGTTGGATGGTTTCACTTCTAGGAGGAATGAGCTCATCTTACCGTGGTGATCATGCTCCAATAACGTGCACAAAGCATCCTCTTGTACACCCTGAGCTGACACATGCTATACATCAATTACATCACAATAAATCTACGGGGAGAGCAGGGCAGGGATTGAAAAAGAAGAGGGGCAGCAAATAATCAAGACCACTATTCAATTCAGTTCAGATAAAAAAAAATGTAACAAAAATCAGCAAGCCAACAAAACAGGTCCAGAGGATTGAGGCACAAAACTCCACCAACCCTCGCAACTGGGATCTGTTCCGGAGGGCCGGGGGCTCCTACCTGTTCTGCCGCAGCGCCTGGTCCAGGACCTGCTGCTTGTCCTGCAGCATCCTGTGCAGGTGCCGCATCTCCTGCAGGTACTGGGATGTCCTGCTCTCGAAGTCCTGCTGCTGCTCTGTCAGCCGGTGACTGATGTCACCCACCTTCAGGGCTGCCTGCTTCTTGTAGCCCTGGGGGGAGGAGGGCTCTGTGAGGAAGGGGGCAGTCCTCATTCCCTACCCACCTGAGCGGATCTGGGAGGGCACCTCTGGATCCCAAAGTCATATAAAGTAGTCAAAGATCTTCAAGAATAAAACCAAATTCCTAACTTGTGTCATGGCTGGGTTTTTATATGCTGCAAATAAAATGAAAGGACCAGGCAAGGTCATCATTCTCTATTGAAGAACAGAACCCAAGGGTAGAGCCAGGCTCATGACTATCTTTGTGTTGATTCTGGGTCCTCACCAGTGTGTGTAAGATTCAACACAAAAAGGTCAACAATGGGTTGATTTACAAGAGAAAAGGGAAATTAATAGTTCAGGAAAAGGGCAAAAGATGTTGATTAATACGCCCTCCCACTTCCACTGACCTGGAACCCCAATAGCACCCTGAAAATCAGTGAAGAACCAAGAGACAAGGCTAAGAGACCCCCGGAGCCCACATCTGGTTTAATACCCAACCCTGGCTGCTGAACCCTCAGGCCCACCACTCTTCTCTTTGGTGTTGATGGGATTTGTAGTTCCAGTGTCTGGGGTGGGGTGGAGTCCACAAAGCTTATATCTATAGAGTTCCTTCAAGAAAGCCTTGCCTCCTTCCACTTTCATTTTCAGTATGGTCTTCAAGGTTCTGAAAGCCCGCTGAGAACTTCTCAAACTGTTGTTCTCAAAGCTTCTGATTTCCGGTTTGCAGAGATTCAATTCTTTAGAGAATCTGACACTCAATGTATACAACCCTTCTGAGCCAACAAAGGTTACTATACAGATTTCACACTTCCAGGTGATAATCTTCTTTGCACTGACTTTATGAATTTTTTGTTTCTCTTTTTGATCAACGAACACCTGCCTTATGTAGGGGTTTCTCTGACAGCTGATCTATCATCAATTTTTGTGACCATTCTGCAAATGTACACACACGCAAATAAACTTCAGACTATACTGCTAAATCATCTATTGCCTTACATTGCTCTTGATTCATTTTCTGACCTAGAGGAGTGTATTAAGCTGCTATGATCAGTTTCCATTTCCCTTTGCATTTCCTGGAGCAGAATCAGTGTTTTCATTTCTTCCCGGGACTCTAATGATAACACTGGGTTTCAGTGTCTGCGTGCTTTTCACATCTTTATCCCTGATTTCCTGTCTTTGCCTTTCTCATTAGTATCCCGTACACCCTTACTGTGCTTTTAAGATCTTTCTCCTGTGCCCCTTGTAATTCAGCCCACATTTCTGACCGGCTCTTTTCCTCGTGTTATTTCACTTTTCTTCCCGCATCCTCTATAATCCAGCCAGCTTGTCTTGAGCTCTCTATGCTTCTGCTTTGTGCTCTCTCCCTAACATTGACTGCTATATTACATTTCAGCAACCCAGTGCCTATCTATCCACCTACTTACTCACCTGCTCAACTGCCTATCCATTATTCGGAGCACAGGGCACAGTTTTGATCTCCTTTCTGGCAATATTGTTTGAGACCCATCTTCATCATGTGGAAGAAATGACACAACTCTTTTTCTTCCTCTTTCTTTAATCACTGAGCTCCTTTGGAATAAGGTGAGGTCCTGGGTGGTGGGAGCAGTGGCTGCTGGGTCAGGCAGCCTGCCAAGCTTCACACGTGCCCCTCTCTCGCTCCAGCCCAGTTCCAGAAGTTGCCTGTGGATCTGGTTCCCAGATCTCGTCACAGCCAAGTCAGACCTTGCTGGTGTTTCCTGAGATGCCTCCTCTGGGTTTTCTCAAGCCTTTCCCTGGTCTCTTCATGACCCTGGAGGCTCGCCTGGTAAACCTGGACCCAGCTCACAGGTTCTCTAGCCAGGTGGTGGTGGAGCTGGGTGTTCTGTATGCAGGTGAACAATAATGAGGCATATTCCCTTGCAAGACAAGGCACTTTGAAGGTCAGACCTTCTCTTCTGAAATAAAAGTTAACAGTAACACCAGAGAAAATATAAAACCCCATAATGACTCATCATTTCTCATGTCACTTCTGTGCAGATTTCCGTCATGAGCAACATAGTGCATCTGCAGCTCTTTCTGATGTAGAGTTGAGATGCTATTTTGTACATTACTTGTCATTTCGCTGTGCTTGAAAAACTGGAGAACAGATCATTTAATTGATTGCCAAATAGCTACTGCATTGTCTGATACCTGCCATATGCTAGGTGTGACTTTAGGTGGCTGAGATGAGAGATCCTTGTCTTAGTGAAGCTAATAATCTGGTCGGGGAGACAGACAGTAACCAATACACATAATAAATAAATGTGGAGGTGATGTTGTTTATGAAAGAACAACATTTGCTAAGCAGGTACTGAGACTCAAAGGTGTGAAAGGTGAACAGCAGCAATTTTAAATAGTTAAGGTATGTCTCATTGGTAACATGATGTGGCTATTTGGGGGGAAGCACATAAAAATGAGTTTAATTAGTAACAGGACAAAATCAAATAACTACCATCCATGTTACAGACCATTATCAGTATCAGATCATCCCTTCCATATAAATAATCCCCTTTAAACATCCCCAAGCTCCCAGGCCTCAGCAAGGCCTCTAGCCCGCCCACCCTCTTCCCTGCTCCCCAAGGCCCCGCCCACCAACGGCCCCGCCCTCCCTCGACCCCACCCACCCACGGCCAGCCATGTTGGAGAGAAGTCTGTGTGTCAGGTGGGGCAGTGGCTACACACTGAAAGGCCAGTCAGAACACAGGTCAGGGCGGAAGATGTGGCCAAGAGATGTGGCCAGGGAGGACAGTGTCTGCAAGGACACTGGACAGTGTCACCAGGGTTAAGCAAGAGAGAGGCAGGTCAGTGCTGCTCTTTACAGACCCAACAAATGTGGGCTTGATGGTAAAGCCGGGAGGTGAACTTTAAGGATACAGCCTGGAGGTTCACCCGTTCTTTTCTTTTTGAGCAGCTGCATGATATCTTCTGGGGTAGAAGATATTTCATGAGCGGATAGGTGCTATTTCTGCCAGGGAAACCCTAGGCTGCTTTACTTGGAGGAGGATGGAATACTCGCGCCCGACACGGGATTATTTTCCTTACCACCCTACTCTGCACCCATTAGGCCTCTGATCCCACCTGAAATGACACTTCTGAGGTTAAGTGACCACTTACCTTAACTTTTTCCTCTAATCTCCCCAAGCGAATGTTGCCTTCTATGATTTTGTTGAGAACTCCATGCTTCTCACTTTCCAGACATTTAGCCTAAGGAGCAAGGTGACAAGAAAAACGATGGGTATCTGGCTTTGCAGAAAAATGAAAATAATAAAAAAATTCTTTTGCAAAGGGCATTACGATTCACAAGTAACTTCCATTCTGCCACTTGTTCTGCCAACCCTTGCCCCCCTCACTCTCCTATCCCCTCCTGGGGTCTCACTGCCCACCTGAGGGCAGACCTTGGACCAACACTGGACAAGGCAGGAGCCCCCCACAGGGGAAGTCTGGCACAAGTCTCTATTCCTGTGGGATATATAATCCCTTCCCTCATACCCAAGGGGTAAAGGCCAAGATGCAAAAATAAAACCAAAAGATGAAAAACATGTTCACACGACCACTGGAATAACGCAAAGTGCAGGCTAAGAAGCTGTGGAACAGGGCCACTCCCTAACCAAGTGTGACCCCCAGCACATCCAAGGAGATGGCTTGAAGCTGAATGATTTAGGCCAATGTCCACATGGGATTGGAACTGCTCAGCCTATAAATGAACCCTTTCAAATGCTGAAATTAAAAAGAAAGGGCAAGCTTTCCTTCTAAAGTAGGTTACCGGTGGCAACTTGATTTTCAAGAAAGGAAAAATAAGCTACGGACTGTTAATTACTTATCACATGGAAAACCCACCTTCAATGCAAGATTGGAAATTAAGATGTCATCTGCAAAAACATTCAACACCACTATCAGGGAAATGCAATGAAAACCACAATGAGACTCCACGTCACTCCTGTGAGAATGGCACATATTAAACTTGGAAACAACAAATGCTGGCCAGGACGTGGAGGAAAAGGAACTCCTCTGCTGGGGGGAATGCAAACTGCTCCAGCCCCTGTGGAAAGCGGTGTGGAAGTTCCTCAAAACACTGAAAATGGAGCTACCATATGACCCAGCAATGCCACTTCTAGGAATCTACCCAGAGAACACAAAAACACTAATTCAAATGGAAATTTGCATCCCTGTTTATTGCAGCACTATTTACAATAGCCAAGATATGGAAACAAACCTAAATGTACCGAAATAGATCAAGAAGATGTGGTCTATATACACAGTGGAATACTACTCGGTAGTCAAAAATGATAACCCATGCCATTTGCCAACGACATGGATGGAGCTGGAAGGGGTAATCCTCAGTGAGATAAGTCAAAGGAAAAAGGTAAATATTGGATGGTTTCACTTCTAGGAGGAATAGATGGGAACTGAACAAAGGATAAGAAAAAAGACAAAACTTGCAAGCTGCAGATAGCAAGGGAGGGGGAGAGAGGGGTTAAAACAGGAGAGGGACAAGCACACAAGACTGTGGAGAGGGATCTTGGGGTCTGTGGTGGGAGAACTCCAGGGGGCACGCCTGAGGGGAGAAAGCAAAAATTGTCCAAAAATGAACAATGATGTAAGAAAGTAGATAAATATAAAGAAATTAAGATGCTAATATCAATAAACTGAGATATGAAGGGCAACCCCAAAAGAGCAAGAGGGGGTTAAGTGGGGGTGCTTGGCCTGCCATCAGAGGGAGCCAGAGGGAGACAGATCAGAGGAAGCCAGGAGCCCTGTGGGGCCAGAGCCTGGAAAGGCTGGTTTGGGGCTCCAAGGAGCAAGGCCTGTGCACACAGCGGTCCCTCAGGATGGGTGGAGTTCAGTGGGTGAGAGCAGCACCCCCACATCTGAGAAGTCTCAGGGTCTCAAGTGTGGGTCCCAGGTCATAATGATAAGGCCAAGGCAAGAGGGGAACACATCTCATGAGCTGTCTGCTGGTTTAATTTGTAACTTGGAAGTATTCAGACACATAGTACTGTGTGTGTATTTCCATCAAATGCAATACTGCATTTGTATTTCCATCCTGGGGCCCACAAATATGAGGGGTGGGCCTGAGGGGGACCCTTTGAGGGTAAGGGAGGATCCCAACCTGTGTGTCCCGCCCAGCAAACGAGCCAGCTTCCCATTCATGGTGGCCCCAAGGAGGCCAGTCCCTTAAACGACTCCCAGGTAAGGGGGCTGTTTGGCACTTTCCCCATTTCAGAAGCTTTTGTTATGCCCTGTTGATATCCAGTGAGGAAGCCCAGGAGGTAGAGCAGGAGGAGAAATGGGCGCTCACCTTGCTACAGAAAATGCCAGAGAGTTCAGCACTGGGGTTGGGATTGCGACTTCTCAGGCAGGCCTACTGCCCAGGGAGGTCTGCAGGCGTTTAAGGCTCAGAACCAAGCTGTCAGCCAAGTTGCTCTCTCAAAGCCTCAGGAGAGATTTAGACATCACGAGTAATGTATAACCAGGCTTACCACTCTGCTCCCAGCATCTGTTATTATTTTTTAAAAAGTTCTGAGGCATTAATATAAGTACAGAATGGCATCTCAAGGAAGACTTGCTTAGCATTTCGTTCATTATAAGATGAGTAATTTCCCCCACTGAACTGTGTTTTATTTATCTTCCTCTTGAAGAAACAATAGCTAGAAGCCCTCCCTGGTAGCACAATGTGTTAAAGCACAGAATTATGAAGCTGTCCACAGCCCCTGCAGCATGAGTTCAATCCCCGGCCAAGGAGTGACCCACAGGGCTCAGCAGACCTCTCCTGTCTCCCTGCTGCTCCCCTTAGCAGTGGATTTCAGTCCACCTGCCTGCTCTGCTCCCCACTCTGTCTCTGATGAATCTCTCACTTCCCTGTACTTCTGGCCTGTACCCCAGGTCTTGTGTGCAAATATAAATCTTAAAAAAAAAAAAAAAAAAAGCCCAGGAAGAATTAATAATTTTCTAACAAATGGGGAAAAGCTCGTGACACCTCCCAGCAGGCTCTCCACCCCTCATTCACCCTGGAGAAGGGCTGAGTCATTTCCAAGATTGCCCATTTCTCTCTTGGGAAGTCTGTGGTCTCTTCTCGAACGACATCCCTTACATTATTTCCACCCTGCACTAGCTGAGATTTGCATCATTTCTTACATAGCTTAAATGGACAGAAACAAATGCATTCAATGTAGGAGACTCATAAAAAGCAGGGAGCTACAGGGCCCTTCCTGCTGGTGCAGCGGGTTAAAGCACTGCACTAAGAAGCTGAAACCACTTCATGAGTTTGATTCCCGCCTGCCCCGGAGGTGACCACATGGCGCAGCAGACCTCTCCTGACATGCCCGCTGCTCCCCTCAGCAGTGTACTTCGTTGATCTGCCTGTTGTGCTACCCACTCTGTCTCTGGTGAAGTCTTTTGCCACCCCTGAGTCTCTGGCCTGTACCCCAGTTCTGTACGCACAAATAAATAAATCTTTAAAAAAAAAAAAAAAAAAGCAAGGAGCTACAAAGGTTTTAAGATCTGTGATTCCACCTCCAGACAGTTTTCTACCTCGCTGTTAGTAAATCCCATCAGACTTAGCCAGCACCTGTCTCCACCGCTACACAATCAGAGGTAGATATCTTTTAAAATCAGCGTGGAGAGGCCAAGAATCTGGTCCACGGCATCCCTCATGAGGGGGGATCACCCAACTACATCCTCAGGATGAACCCCATGGTTCATGGTCTGTGGGTTTCATCTTCTGGCCACTGGTTCATATGTTTAACTTCCAAAATACCGCCTGCCCTTTTTTAAACATCTGAGTTACTTCCTTTAGAAAATGTTTTCTCCCCATGGTTGAAAGATAAAATGTTGGAGAATTGGAAAATCTGCAGTTGAAATTTCAACAGATGAACTTTGTAACAAGAAAACAATAACTCACACTTGCAGTGTGTTTGGAGTAACTGAGCAAACTTACCAAGCACATAAGATTGTCGCGCTCCTGGGTCACCGTCTCTGTCACGCCGACGAGATTGGCCAGGTACTGGCGAGCTGACATTTCGTTCTCCATGGCTTTTTCCACCTGCTTTTTGAGGACATCAATCTTTTTTTGCGCTCTCCTAAAGAATCACCCCCAAAATGGTAGAAGAGAAAACTCATTAGCCTGAAAAGGTAGGGCAAATAAACGTCTGTATTATGAAAATAAGTAAATAAGTGAATTGAATAAATATAAAATAAATGATAAAAATTATGTGAGCCTTTTAATATTCTTCTTCAGCAACCTCTTTACAAAGTTTCAGGGTGAGAAAAGGAGCCTGAACTTATAAACATAATTATGGGCTCCAAGCCAAACCCATGGAATCATAAAATGCTTAGCAGCATTAATAGCTTAATTATATATTATTCTGCTAAGTTTTTGGTTCCTCTTCTTGAAGATACATTTGAAAAAGGAATCCAGTAGCCCCCCCAAATAAGACTTTTGGGGAACGGTTGAGAAAGATCTTCTAGACCTTCCAGGATTTTAGGGCCGTCTGTAGCTACCCCGCGTAACTGAATCAAGGGCTGATAACCAGTAACCTCAACTATCCTTTTCCATTTTATAGCTGACATGGGGGGTGGGGGGAGTAGAATATTCTTCAATGGTCTTATTTCAACACCATTTTTTAACAACCAGCTGAAGAAAAAACAAATAGAAACCTGTCTTTTTTCTGCCTCTTCTCCAGTTCGGTTTCCAGTGCCCTGTTCTTCGCGGTCAGACTGTTCTTCTCCAGCAGCAGGCTCTTCTTCTGCATTTGCAGGACGGTCAGCTTCTCCATCAGCTCTTCCATCTCAGCGCTTTTTTTCTCTTCTTCCTTCTGCAAACGACTGACAGACAAAACAGACAGGCTTGGGTCCAGGACACTGAGGGGACTATGAGACAACAGGCCCAGGCCTCGGCGCCTGGGGGTTCACCTGGGAGGCCATCCCCTCACCAGCCCCTGCAGGATGAGGGAGGGTGCCTGGAGGAAGGACAGACAGCTGAGGGCCTGGTTGGGCAAGGCAGCTTGGATGGGCACTATCGACCTCTTAATGGCCTGTGTTCATGTACTACAGGAACCCTATTCCTTCCAAACTTAAGATAATTTGCTTTTCTACATAATTATAATAGCCCCCCCCCCCATTATATTCCATTTTATGGCTGTATTCTTTCTCTTAACTAGCTTATTCCTGGATATCTAAGTTTCCGGTTCTACTACTTTTAATTACCTTTGCTTTTAAAATCAACAAAGCCTGGAACAATAAAGGGAAAATCATCTAAACACACACTGTGCAGATGGCAGCCCTCAGGAATAGCCAAGTTCTACTTGAATCAAAATATTACCGTTCTCAGTCTCAGAAATCTATGCTCGTGCAGCGAAATGACTTCAGCAGAGATGGGGCAGCCCGACTCCAAACTGCCTGCACAGTGCTCTATTAACCCTGGAAGACATTAAACCCTTACCTTTTTTTCTTTTTTTTTTAATAATTATTTATTCATACAGAACTGAGGTACAAGCCAGAGGTGCAGGGTCGGTGAGAGGCTTCACCAGAGACACAGTGGGGAGCAGAACAGGCCAACTGATGAAGTCCACTGCTGAGGGGAGCAGCGGGTGGGTCAGGAGAGGTCTGCTGTGCCTTGTGGGTCACCTCTGGGCCCGGGATCGAACTCACACTGAAGTGGTTGCAGCCAGCTTGCAGTGCTGCATGCTAACCCCTTGCACCACCAGGGAGGGCTCAACCCTTACCCTTTTAACTCATTCACAATCGAAGTATGAACGTCCATCGAGATTTGGCCATCCAACTGTGCCTTCAGTTCTTGGCATTTGCTTCGTAACGCTTCCAACTGCTCCTTGTTCCTGCTCAGCTCCTTTTCTTGGTTCTGTGTTTTAGTCTCCAGAAGGATTAGTTGTTTGGTCAATTTGGAAACTGAATAACAAAAGAGATGAAACTTAATGAAACCTGATTATTGATTTCTAGGAAATATGAATGAGAGCCAACCTATAAAAAATGAACTTTTTTTTTAAATGAACTTTTAAAAACCTTTTGGAGATTTAGAAATCTACACCAGAGGCCTTGTACTTGGAAATTACTATCCTTGGGCCTCTCTGGTGGCACAGGACTTAAAGTGTCAAGGCTCTCAAGCTATCACCAGCCACTGCAGCCCTCTCCTGTCTCCCCGCTGCTCCCCTCAGCAGTGTGTTCCAGTCCATCCACCTGTTCTTCTCCCCATTCTGCTCTGGCGGATCCTCTCATCGAACTCCCCCATCCCCACACCTCTGATCTACACCCCAGTTCTTCTATGGTACAAAAAATAAAAGTTCGCTGGTATATGGTATATGCTGTGCAGCTTCTAAAGGCAGGGAGGGACCTGGAGAGAGCATCTCATAGATGATCCCTTCACCTCAGCTGTGGGGAGAGCATGTACCATGAGGGACTTGTTCAGTGGTGACTAACAGATCCTGGTGTTACTTCAAATACTCATTCTCACATCAATTACCTCCCCTAAAACCAGCCCTGCCAGGCCTAAAGCTGCCGCCTTCTACGGACTTACAAACTATGGTGGATAATTAAAGACACTAGAGTCGAAGAGATCTTGCCGCATTTCAGCAAGGAAGGGTCTGCCCTAAAGAAAAAAACATGACAGGCCCTCCCTTGTGGCGCAGCGGGTTAAAGCATAGCATTAAGAAGCTTAAGCCACTTCCACATGAGTTCGATCCCCGCCTGCCCCGGAGGTGACCACATGGCGTGGCAGACCTCTCCTGACCCGCCCGCTGCTCCCCTCAGCAGTGTACTTCGTCGATCTGCCTGCTCTGCTCCCCACTCTGTCTCTGGTGAATCCTTCACCCATAGCATCTCTGGCCTGTACCCCAGTTCTGTATGAGTAAATAAATTAAAAAAAAAAACAAAAAAACATGACATCTGTTTCCCCATTTCCAGAGCAAAGGGGAGTCCCTGCGAAGAGGTGTGTGCAAGGGTAAAACGACCCACCACTCACCTTCCTGGACACGCTCCTGGTGGGTGTCCTTGACTTTTTTTTGCTGAATCTCCAACTGCTCTAGCAACAATTTGTTTTCCTCTAGCACCAGCTCTGCCTGAGTCTGAAGTTGCCGCCTACAAGTAAGTCACAAAGTTAAACACTGAGGTCAGGGCGTTCAGAGAGAGCTCTCGTTCTGAGAGGACGCAGCCGATAAGGAAGTCGTGGACATCTGGCTGCGTCTTGTGTTTATCACACACTCAGCTCCAGCCTCCAAGGGCCAATCTTGCTTTATCTGCGTAAAACTCTACTTCTGCGATCTACTGGATTATTCTGAGTCCAGTATGAAATGTTGACCTGCGTTTCAGGGTGCTAGTCAAGGAGGGTCCAGTAAAGACACAATAGGCACCCGTAGAAGAAAAGCTAACTGCCAAAACCCGGCCTGGCCATTCCCCACAGTCACATCAGTGGCCACAGTCCGGCAGCCCTAATTCACTGACTCTGCGGCTGCTGGGCTGAGATGGTGGGGCAGGGCTGGCCCTTGAGGGGCTCACAGAGGAGAGGGAGACAGATGGGGAGACGCACAGGGAGGTGTGTGTGGCAGCAATGGGCCGGGAGGGTGGTTAGGGCTCGTCAGAAACCGAGGCGATGCCTTCAGAAGAATTGCTCAGGGCCATCTGAGTGGGGCCCTAGTAGATGTGTAGGAGTGCAGGGAGGGAGTGGTGGGGACAGAGTGAGGCAACAAAGAATGGAAAGGGCAGGGCAGGTGATGCCTGCCATGAAGGCTTCAGCTTGAGCTTGTTGTCTTAAATTCCGGAGGTCGGGGGTTAGGGAGGGGAAGGTTGGGAGATGCTAATCTAAAAGAAGATGTGACCTGAGTGGTTTGGGGTGGGAAAAGTGTCCCAGACAAATACAACCACAGAAAATAAATATGGGGGCAGCAAATATATTTCAGGCCTGACTACCGATTAGAATTTTAGAAGTTAGGTCTTCAGCGTTAGACTACTGTAACAGTGATTTCTTAGAAACACTCCCCTTTTTGGCTAAAAAACAGAAGATGTAGATGAGGATTTAAAGTATTTTATTCCTATTTTCTTTTTTATTGGTAAAATATTAGAAACACATCACCACTTGCCATTCCTCGAGGGTAACCGGACTGCTCTTATTTAATTCTCGGTGCAATGCTTCATTTTCTGTCACCACCTCCTGGACTCTCATCCGAAACATTCTCATTTCCTCCTGGGAAGAAAAGAAAAGTAAACTGTATACACACACACACGCACAATACCCATATTTTTAGTTTGAACGCAGACAAAGTCAAATTCTGACAGCTTTGGGACAAGTACTGCAAGCTTTAGATGAAACACAGAATTAACTATTTGATTAACCAATTGGAGGATACTTAATCAGCTACTGGACGATTAAATTTGAAAAATTAATTCTCCAGGCCCTCTCCGGTGGCACAGTGAGCTAAGGCACAGTGCTACAAAACTGGCTGCAGCCACTTCGGTGAGGGTTAGATCCCGGCCCCAGAGCTGACCCATGTGGTTCAGCAAACCTCTCCTGTCTCCAAGCTGCACCCCTCAGTGGTGTACTTCTTCAACTACCTGTTCTGCTCCCCACTCTGTCTCTGGGGAATCCTCTCACCACCCCTACACCTCTGGTCTGTATGTATAAATAAATAAATCTTTTTTAAAAATTAAGTCTCGGGCCCTCCCTGGTGGCACAGCGGATTGAAGCGCAGCACTGGGAAGCTTAAGCCACTTCCGCATGACTTTGATCCCCGCCTGCCTCGGAGGTGACCCACAAGGCATGGCAGACCTCTCCTGGCCCGCCCGCTGCTCCCCTCAGCAGTGTACTTCGTCGATCTGCCTGTTCTGCTCCCCACTCTGTCTCTGGTGGGTCCTTTCACCCTCCTCATCTCTGGCCTGTATCCCAGTTCTGTATGAATAAATAAATAAATCTTAAAAAAAAAAATTAAGACTCCATCAGGAAGTCTAGGGAAAAAAGGTAGAAGAAAGCACTGTATAGGCCACAGACAGCATCAGTGAAGAATACACAGGGGTTTCTGAACAGACCCCTCTGCTGGGGATCCCAGGAAAATCAATACTTCTCTCTGGGTGCTTCTAATTTCAGAGATCAAGTTGGCCACCGAAATGAAGGAACACAGAGACAGGCCGCAGGGAAAGGCTGGGGGCCTGTCTACACATCTGCACAGCCTTGGTCTCCTGTATCATTAACATAAACACTGGAAGTGACCCCCAAGAAACAGAGGCAGTGAGTTCAGAAATGAATATAAACCTCACTTCCTTGCATCTTCCAATTACTCCAAAACTGAGCTTCAGGTCTTCATTGAATGAAGTAGAACCAGGCTGCCTCTGACAGTCTTGGCCCACCGCCTTAACACATGTCCAAAGGCCCTGGCTATAGTGCCTGTGGCTACAGAGAACCAGGAAGAAGGCATGCCTCCCAATGCTCCTTCTCTGCCTCCCAAGATTCCAACCCACCCGGGGCTGCTGGTCTAGAATCCACAGCACCACCCTGCTCCTCCACCCGTCCCACCTACCCACCTTCTTGCCCTCCCTTCCCACCCGGATAGACTCCTTCCTTCCTCCTTGCCAACATTGAAGCACCTACCAGATGCTGGCCATCCCTACCTTCAAAATGTTTCTTCAGTTTGAAAACAGTCTTATTTTTTGTAAACTTTGTCTCTTCTAGACACCCTATAGACAGGAGAAAATATTTGCACTCCATACAACTGATAAGGGTCTGATATCAAACATCGACAAAGAGCTTACACAACTCAACAAAATAAAGTAAACAACTCAGTCAAAAAATGGTTAGAAGAGCTAAAAAGACACGTCTCCAAAGAGGAAAGGTAGATGGCCAACAAGCATATGAAAAAAAATGCTCAAATCACTGATAATCAGGGAAACGCAAATCAAAATCACAAAGAGATACCACCTCAATCGAGTAAGGATGGCCCACATTAAAAAAAAAAAAAGCTGCATAATAGAGGCTAGTGAGGATGTTGAGGAAAAGGCACTCCCTTATATTGCTTATGGGAAGGTAAACTGGTCCAACCACTATGGAAAGCTGTATGGAAGTTCCTAAGAACACTAAAAGTGGATCTACCACAAAATCCAGCAATTCTACTCCCAGGAATCTACCCAAAGAACAGAAAGACACTAATTCGAAAGGAAATCTGCAATCCTATATTTACTGCAGCACTATTTACAATTGCTAAGATCTGGAAATAAACTAAATGCCCAAAAACAGATGATGGGATCAAGAAAATGTGATATGTATACACAATGGAATACTACTCAGCCATCAAAAAGATCAACTCATGCCATTTGCAGCAACATGGATGGAGCTGGAAGGGATGATGTTCAGTGAGATAAGTCAGGAAGAAAAGAAAAATATTGGATGATATCATTTATAGGAGGCACAAGGAAATGGAACAAAGGGTCAAAAAAGAAAGACAAAACTTACAGGCAACTATAGATCTGAGGCTTAAAGCAGGTGAGGAGGAAGAAAAGAGATCAAAACACAGTCACACAAGGAACCATGGTGACAGTTCACAGCAATGGTGGGAAATTTGCGGGGACTACACCTGGCGGGAGAAATCAAATACTATGGAAAAAGGAACAGCGATGTAAAAATATTTAAGTGAGACAAAGGATACATTTGCCAACATACCTGCAGGGTGGCACTGAGCTCGTCCTTCTCCTTCATTCTGTCTTCATAAGCCAGCAACAAGGGTGACAGGTACTTCATATCCAGCTGAACATAACGTAGTGAAGAGGGTCAGTACCTTCCTAACATCCACACACAACAGCAACTTTTTAAAAAGCGAAGGAAACACAACTCGGAGTGGCTTTTAGTAGCCACTCAGCTGTAGCACAGGAATACAGGCTGAGACGAAATGACCTTCACTTACCAACCACGGAGGCGTAGGGCCTTTTGATGGGAGGCCATCCGTATTTAAACACTGTGAACAAAACACAGGGAAAGGTTGAAGACAAAATTAAACTATACTTCCTCTAAATCTCAAGCCTTAGATGTCCTTAATGGAGATCTTGCATTAGCATCTACAAATCTGTATTTATTTATATGTGTGTGTACATGAGAACTTTTTTACAGATACCATTTTCTTCTAAATCCTTCAGTGTTTAAATACTTCAGTATCCTGAAAACAAATATGTTCATTTACTCAACTGCAGTATTATCATGAAAATCAGGAAGCCAATGATATTCTATCTTCTAACTTGTCAGCTAGATTCAAATATTACCTATTTTCCATTAATACCCTTTTCCAATCAAGGATCCAATCCAGGATCATATTTTGTCTTTAGCTTTTGTGTCTTTTCAGACTTCTAAAATCTGAAACATCTGGGAATTTTTTTTAAAGATTTATTTATTTATTTTATGCATATAAGAACTGAGGTGCAGGCCAGAGGTGTCGGGGTGAGAGGAGTCACCAGAGACAGAGTGGGGAGCAGAACCAGCAGACTGACTGAAACATACTGCTGAGGGGAGCAGCGGGGAGACAGGAGGGGTCTGCTGCGCCCTGTGGGTCACTCCCTGGCTGGGGATCAAACTCATGCTGCAGTGGCTATGGACAGCTTCACAGTGCTGGGCTTTAACTCACTGCACCACCCGGGAGGGCCACATCTGGTAACTTAATTGGATGCTTATACTTTTTCCATGTTATTTTTGAGCTTTTGGAGTTTTGTTGTTTTCCTGTAAAGAGTGTTTTTCCTCCCACTTATTTTGGACAGACTCTTACATGACTTGTGTATCTGAAGCTGCTGAGGCTTGTTTTGACCCTGATTAGGACAGGTCTGCAGCGACCCTTCCAGAAGGCGAGTTTGGACACACTGCTGAGGTTGAGCCCTGGCTGGGCTCTGTATTCAGTGCTGCAGCGTTCAGCAAGGTCTCCCCCTTGTGGCTGGTTTGAACTCAAGGTTCACAGGGCTGTGTGAGCTCTGGGAATTAACTCAGCTTGTGGTTCCCTGAGCTTGTTTTCTTCCTAGCCGTCATGGACGTAGGGAAAGTGGGTTTTTGCTAACACGTGGGGATGTTCCTATGCACATTTCAAAACTGCTTCTTTGGAAAGAAGCTATGGAAAGCCCTCGGTTACCAGGGTGTGATGATGGGAGGACCTGCAAAACCAGACGGCTCTCTGTATGGAGGCTCCTCAGGCTGCTAAAAGTAGAGCTACCATGTGAGCCAGCAATTCCACTCCTTGGGATCTACCCAAAGGACAAAAATAAAATGATTCAAAAGATTACCTGCCCCGCCGCCCTGCATGTTTACTGCCCAATAGACCAGATTAAGAATATGTAGTCTATATGCACAAGAGAATGTTATGCAGCCATCAAAAAAGTTAAACTACTGTCATTCGCAGCAACATGATGGATCTAGAAGGAATGAACCTTAGTGAAATAAGTCAGAAGGAAAAGGAAAAATATCATATGGTTTCACTTATAGGAGGAATATAGGGGAACCAAATAAGGGGCTGGGGAAAAAATAATGACAACAAAAATAAAGACAACTATCAACCAGAGACATTCTGCAGGGCAAGGGGAGAGGAAGGGACTGGAGCCAGGGAGGGGCAAGCACAGGGATAATGGTGATGGTGCCAGGTGAACTGGTGGTGGTGTTAAAAAATGAACAATGGGGCCCTCCCTGGTGGCGCAGCGGGTTAAAGCGCAGCCCTGAGAAGCTAAAGCCACTGCAGCATGAGTTTGATCCTCAGCCCTGGAGCTGACCCACGTGGCCAGAGAGACCTCTCCTGACCCGCCCCTGCTCCCCTCAGCAGTGTGCTTCCTCAGTCTGCCTGTTCTGCTCCCCACTCTGTCTCTGGTGAATCCTGTCACCGCCGCACATCTCTGGCCTGTACCCCAGCTCTGTATGAATAAATAAATCTTTTTAAAAAAATGAACAATTACGTAAAATATATATAAATTTAAAAAAAAAATTTTTAGAGAATAAAAACAGCAACAACAAAACAGACAGCTTTCCTTTCTGAGCTTGTACATGAGAAGCAGCTGTGACCTGGAGGAAACAGCCACCAACGCAGACGGTTGCTCTGTATTTCTGCATTATCCCAAGTTTAAATAAACTTCCCTGCCTGTGCTATGAGAATGTAAGGGAGGGAGGGGGAGGAGTGGGGAGGGGAGCATAAAGGGGGAGGGAGGGGAGGGAGGGGGAGGGGGAGGGAGGGGAGACAGAAAAGCACAAACCAAAAAGTCCCTGAAAAGCCTGCTTTGGATCCATAGTCTTAAGCCAAATTATAATAAAAAGCCCCTCGACCGGAGATCTGCCCAACAGTAGAGCCGAGAATCTGAAAACTGCATTTACTTAACTGGAAACTCACCTCTTCCTTGGATAAATGCCTGAATTTCGTTTGGTATCTACTCAGTTCCACGTTCAGACGATGGATGGTCATTTTCAAGCCGTCGTTTTCATCCACCAGCTGCTGAGCTTGTTTTCTTAGATAAAGTAACTCAGGTGCATCTGCTATCGAAAACAAGTTAGTATTATACGAAGTTGTATAAAGCAATTCAAGATTTTATATGAACTGCTAACTGATCTTGCTTTTTTCTTTCCCTTTTAGGCTCACCAAGGCAGTGATTCACAGATCTCCAGGTAGAAACAAATAAAAGTTACTAAGTTTTTAGACTCTGAATAATCAGAACTGTGTTGAAAGTCTGTGGAAGTTTTTACATGTACACTTCAAGTGAACTGAAAATACCAGCTTGGGAAGGAAAGGCACAGTCAAACATATGGCTTGAAAATCATGTGCCTTGAAAATTGAAAATATACTACAATAAGCTTCCCTCATAATAACTATGTCCTATTTGATAACATAATAGCATATAGATCCCACCAAGCAACAATACAAATAATATAAAGTATCTAGAAATAAATGTGCCTAAGACAAGAAATAGGCAAGGTCCCTGTGAAAGAAAAGTGACGTAACACTTTTTAAGGTTAGAGTACTATTTATACTACTCACACAATATATAACTGAGAAGGGATTAATAGCCAAGGTACATAAAAACACTCACAGGTTCAACAATAAAAAAAACCAATCACCCAATTAATAAACACAGACTAGATATGAACAGACAGTTCACCAGAGAGGACATTCAAAAGGCTGAAAGACACGAAATTCGCCATCATCACTCCTAGTTAAGAGTAGCAGATTAAAACTACAATGACAGAAGAATAAAAAAAAAACTACATGAGAGACCACCTCACACCTGTAAGCAGGGTGCATATTAAAAAGACCCCTACAGTAAGTGCTGGAGAGGATGTGGAGATAAGCCGGTGAACTGGGGTGACCATTATGGGTTTACCTTAAACAAACTTAAAAAAGGGCCTCCCCAGGGGCGCAAAGGGTGAAGTCGCAGCACTATGAAGCTGTCTGCAGCCACTGCAGCACAAGTTCAATCCCCCAGCAGGGAGCTGACCCACAGGGCGCAGCAGACCTCTCTTGTCTCCCCGCTGCTCCCTCAGCAGTGGACTTCAGATCTACCTGTCCTGCTCCCACTGCCTCTCATCAGTCCTCTCTCCACACCCACCCCCCACATCTCTGGCTTGTACCCAGCTCTCATGTATAAATAAGTACATCTTTTAAAAAAAGAACCTTTAAATAAAACACACACACACAAAAAAAAATTAGAAGATGGAAAAACGCATAAAATAAACTATTATTTTTTAAAAAAGCATTAGAATATTCTTCTTTAATACAGCATTATTTCATTATTTTGACAACATAAGGGCATTAATGAAAGAACGTATTATAACACCAAATATCAACATTAATATCAACACGTATTGTAGCATAAAACATTTACTCTGAAAATTCAAAAAGAAAGTGAGCTAAGTCCTATTTGCTCCTTTAATAAAAGAAACTTCTGGTTGCTCCCACCTTCTTGAGTACACGCCCCCTCAGCTTCTCCCAGCTTCCCGTTTTCTTTTTCTGTCTTCTTCAGCTTCAACTGCAGCTCTTTCATTGCTTGTTTCATGACGGTAAGTTCGAGAATAAGGGTTTGATTTGCGTTGCATAATTGCAAATTCTCTTCTTTTAATTGCTGGAACTTTTCTTTGTTTATTTCCGTACATCTTTGACGTGTTCTCCTGGTTAAATCTGAAAAGTTGCAGGGAAAATGGTTTAAAATATTAAATGCTAGATACAATTTTAAATGAGCATTGCAGGGGACTTCATTTCAAAAATCACGAAACTCCAAGTCAGGCCTTATGCTTTGTTCCAGCCCAGGCAGAGTTGATCCCCGGCCAGGGATCCCCACAGGGCACAGCAGACCCCTCCTGTCTTCCCCCTGCTCCCCTCAGCAGTGTGTTTCAGTGGTTCTGCCTGTTCTGCTCCCCACTCTGTCTCTGGGGAATCCTCTCACCACCCGCACCTCTGGCCTGTACCCCGGCTCTTGTATGCATAAATAAATAAAATAAATCTTTTTAAAAAGAGAGAGAGAGAGAGAAAGTCCAGTGCCTGGTGGTGGGGGAGCGAGTGTCTGAGATCTCAGCGGGAGACAGGATGAGGGGTGGGCTGCACCCAGTGAGGGCAGAGCTTCCCTTCCGCAGCCACCAGAGCAGGAGAAAAGTCTTTGGGCAGAGATGTTGTAACAGGGTGGGCCCCAGGGAAAGGGTCCAGGTTCCCTGGAGTTCAGCAGGGAGAAGCAAGAGCAGCAGCGGAAGTGGAGAAAGACAGAGATGAGGAAGGGACCCTGGGAGCTCACAGAGGGGCGATGTGTGCAGAAACTGCGGGCCCCTGGACTTGTGCGGGACTTGGGGGTGCGGAAGGAGACCCCTGAAAGGCCTTGGGGGGTGAGGAAGGAGACACCTGAAAGGCCTTGGGGGGCACGGCAGGAGACCCCTGAAAGGCCTGGGGGGTCCGGAAGGAGACGCCTGAAAGGCCTTGGAGAGGCGTGGCAGGAGAGCCTGAAAGGCCTGCAGGGAGGTTAACAATGGTGGCCTTTATCTTGGTTCTAATTTGCTTTCTTCCTTCCAGACCTGTCTGGCCCCTTCTGCCCCAGTCCTGTGGGCCCCACCAGGAGGCGCCTTAGACCGGAGGCAGGCTTCCCCGCCTCGTGGCCCTGCTTGGCCCAACCACTAGAGAATGGGTAACTTCGGGCACTTGACCTGGAAACTAACCTTCTCTTCTTTCCTGCACACGAATGGGACTGAAGCTCTTTTCTAATAAGTTCTTACACACTAGAGTTATGTTTGTGTTGATGGTTCAGAAAGCCAGATGTCAAGAAGGAGTAGAATGTGGAACAGGGAGGTGCTCGGAGAGGTGAATTTTTTAACCCAAAACTGGCCAAATGGGGCCCTCCCTGGTGGTCTAACGGATTGAAGCGCAGCACTATGAAGCTGTGCACAGCCACTGCAGCACGAGTTCGATCCCTGACCAGGGAGCTGACCCACAGGGCACAGCAGACCTCTCCTGACCCGCCTGCTGCTCCCCTCAGCAGTGGATTTCACTACACCTGCCTGTCCTGCTCCCCGCTCAGTCTCTGGTGAATCCTCTGACCCACCGCACCTCTGGCCTGTACCCCAGTTCTGTATGTATAAATAAATACATTTTATAAAAACTGGCCAAATGGTTGAAAAGCCCAACAAGCACTGCTGCCTGTCCCCAACCTCCCAGCAATGGGCAGCTGTGACAGCTTTTCCAGGGAAGTGGTCTGCATCCTACACTGGGCATTCTCTAAAACAAGTGTTCAATCATAACGAAACCCCAAAGCACATACCTGGGGAGGGTGGAGGCTTGTCCCGTAACGGCGGCCTGTCATCCTGGGAAAGGAACACCGGAGAGGGAGGCGTTGAGGAAGAGGAGGGCACCCAGGCCACTGTGGCCCAGCACCAAGCACTTTTTTTCTCCTCATCGTGGCTCAGTAGTTCTGAGCTGTTTTCTGCTCTAGAAACTGCAGTACTCACTGTCTCTTAACTTAAGGGTCTTCCCCTCGTGGGGCTCCCTGAGGGCGGACAAGCAGTCGGGCGTGGGCCCCCGCCTGCCTGTTAACCCATGTGGTCAGTCACGGTGTCCACAGGGCCTCGGTTACCACTCTAAAGCGTGTCACGCGCTGTGGGCGCCCAGTGGAGACTGACGCCAAACCCGTGCGCCCTGGGATGTGCAGAGACCCGAGATACCGCAGCTCAGCGTGATTTCAGAGCGCTGGGAAAGGAATCTATACACGCTTCTTTTTCAACCAAAACTTAAGGAAAGAGAAGCTTTTGAGTTGTTAATATTCTCATTACACTTCAGTCTGACTTCTTTTTTGCTATAAAAGTGGATAAGGTTCTAAGTTTACTGAGGGTTAACAGGCCGCTGAGGAATCTGTCATTTTTAACTCCTGACCTTGCAGAATTAAAAACAAAGTCAGAACGACCTCCATGATTGCAAATGATCTACTCATTCTACAGGTGACCGAAGAAGTTCCTGACATGGACAGATCACATTCATGTTGAAACTATGGCAAACAGGACTTGTTTCAAAATACTCAGTGGGCAAGAAAACTTAAAGAAAGTCCTCCATGCCCTCCCCCCAAGTCATAAAACGACTTAAAATTATGGCGGAGATTCTACTTGTTGAGAAAACCAGATTTTAAAAAGTCTTACCTTCACACTCAGCGCTCGTGTCCCATCTGATTAAAAATAAAGAAAACATTTTAAAACCGGTGAAGACACCTGACAACTCAGAAGAACGTTGTCATGGCAAGTCACCTCCCCCAGAGAGCTGGGGTGGGGGGCACAGCCTTGCGAGGCCTCAGGTCACGGGGCAAGCAGATCCCACAGCAGGTGTCTCTCCTCCTAGTTCACCCCGAACCCTGAGGGCGTCCCATGATTACAGAGCCCAGGCTGCAGGGCTCCCGTGGGGGTGCCCCCCAGACTTCACCAGCCACTCCCCATTGGGCTACGGTCTGCCTGCCCTCTGCTCACCTGCCTGGACTAGCAATGACTGGGAAAGAAAGGCAGTGCCTCCATGATGCCAAGCGCCTTAACGCCAAAAATAACTGCTGCCGTTTACTCATTTTTAATTCATAAAAACAGTCATAATCTAGGTGCTCCCACAGAGAGGGCTTCTAGGCCCCACTGTGCCTGAAGCCTTTGTTTTGAGTGAAATGTTAGACATCTGGCTTGCTTATTAATTTTCTACAGTTAATTTGCAGAGCAGAAATACTTGACTGAAAAGAAACTAGAAGCAAATGCGCAAAAAATAGGGGAAAAAACCTACAGGATTTAAAAAGAAAAAGGTGGCCCTCCCTGG